AGAGATGTTGCACAAATGGAAGAAAGCAGTCTTACATATTTGTTTAATATGTGTTGAAGGACATGTCTGTGAAGGTTCTCAATCATCCAGGTGATCGTAGTCTAAGGAGCTTGGAAAGAAAAGCGTCTGGACTTCTTTAAGAAGACGTTTCATCCGAGAAGCTTCTTCAGTTCTGCGGTCAAATGGCAACAGTGCTAACCACCGTGCAGCTTGTGGGGATAGGTTAATTGGATAATCCAAATTGCCACTAGGTGCGAATGTGCGAATGAATGTGAGTGCAAATGGTTGTTTGTCCCTGTGTGTTGGCCCTGCGACAGACTGGGATAGGCTCCAGCGCCCCCCGCGACCCTGAAAAGGATAAGCAGAAGCGAATGGATGGATGGATGAATGGATAATGGATTGCATTTATATAGCGCTTTTCGAGACCCTCAAAGCACAGAACACTTCAGGACGTCGACCCAGAGGCCAACGACAGAGACAAAACAGTTCAGGGGGCTGGCCGGGAGGAAAGCGGCGGCTTAGGCAAAGCAAGTCCAGATGCCAACCTTGCAGAAAGCAGTGGTGACATGAAAACGGTCCAGAAGGTGACAGCGTATCAGGGCCAGCAGGTGTGGGGACCTCTGGCAGAGAAGAGGCAGAACCAGACGTTGGTGGAGCAGCCCCTGGCAGATGAACATCCGGCGACATGGCTGCTGCAGGCGATGGATGTGGTTGCGCTGATGGCTTGATGGACTCTCCTGAGCCTCCGACAGCTGGACGGGCCCCTTGGACCCTCAGAGTGCCCAGCGGAGACAGACGCAGGGCCAGGAGGTGTGGAGACCTCTGGCTGAGGCTACGCTAACTGCTGCTGCACAGCGCACACCACTGGCTTGAGACGCAGCTGTCAGGAGACCTGGGTCTTCAAACCAGAGTTTTGAGTTTTCATAATTATTGATTTTTGCTTTTGATATTATTTATCTTTTCTAGTCTTTTAGTTTCTTCTTTAGAGTCCTGCTTTCTGTTTTCAGTCTGTGTTCCTTAGTTGCTGTCTCCCCTTGTCAAGTCTGCGTCTCTGTGTTATGTTTCCTGTTTTACTTTGAAGTCCGTGTCTCACGTTATTGTATCAGGTTTTGCTTCCCTGTCTCATTAGCACTGATTCGTCCCTGCTGTGTCTCCCATTCACTGATTGCTCCCTCTGTGTATTTAAGCCCTGTGTTTTCCTTTGTCCGTGTCGTGAGCAACCCTTATCTCATCTCTCTACCCTTATCTCATCTCTCTACCCTTATCTATACTGTGGTCTGGCTGCCTGCGTAAGTTTATTTTGTGGTTTTTAGTTGTGTTACGTTTGAGATCAGCATTAAAGCTGGTTTTGAGTTCACATTTTGCCTCCGAGTGTCTGCACTTTGGGTACCCGCACCACCACTCCTGTCTGCACACAGCCTCACTTGACAGCAGCGGCTGGGGCTGTCCAATGCAGGCAGTCTGTCCGGGCAGTGCCAGCCAGATGCAGTCCTCAGCTGTCTGAATGAGCTCACCAGAGCTTCCAGCAGAAGATAGAGGTAGCTGGGTTGACTCGCCCAAGCTCTCGGCAGAGGCAGGAAGCTGAGACAGCCGAGCTCCAAGGTGAAGCAGCTGAAGGCGGCTGAGAGAGTTCAGCTGAGCTCTAAGCCGATGATGGTTGTTGCTGAACAGGCGGTTGGGCTAATAACTCAACTGGTGACTGAGCTGGAAACAGAACTGACGGCTGTGGAGTTCCCTTGGGGAACTCCACATGTGATACTTGTCTACTCAGATGTGAAGTTACCTGTTGATACAAATCCTTTGTACATCCTTTACGGCAGAGTCACCCACAATCAGAGTTTCAGGCCTAGCCTTTAGCTTTCCCTGTGGTCTTTTACTTTTCAACAGATTTTCAGACCTTACTTCGCTACTTTTAGATGGATGGTTGTCCGATATAGATCCAGGGTCCTTTGATAGTGGAGAAAATCTGTTCTGCAGGTTCACATTCAGTTGTTTTGGAGGTTTGTTGTTAACCTTCCTGTTCACGGTTGTCCAGTCCTGTTTCCTCTCGTATACAGGGATAGAAGAGCTTCTCTGTCTCGTAGGAAGTGAAGGCCAGTCGGTTTCAGAGATTTCAGCTCGCTGTGCTCTGCCCGTTATACGTCCTCCCCCTTCCAGGAGACATGATTTATGTCTTGGTTTTGCACCAAGACAGTCCAAGGGGGGATTATCACTTGAGGATTTATAATAATGCACAGAGTCTACTTTCTTGGTCATGTTATCTGTGCTCCTTAGCTGTGTACTAGCTTGCTCATCGCCATTGTTTTGAATCAAAGGC